GACCCTTCTTCAGAAAAAGGGTCTGAAGAAGGGTCTAGGCCCGAAACATCAGCCCTCCTGCTCCTCTGATGCTGCTTGGCCTGCTGTGTTCATCCAGCTCTACACCTTGTTATCTCAGATTCTCCAGCATCTGCAGTTCCTACTCTCTCTGATATAGATGTGATATATTTGGATTTCCAAAGGGCAGTTAACAAGATACATACCAAAGTTGATTACACAATATCGCAGGTGTGAGGTGTAACATACTGGCATGGATAGATAACTTAACAGGAAAACAAACAGTTGGCATAAATGGGACATTTTCCAGTTACTAAGATGTAACAAATGGAGTGACACACGGACCACTGCTGGGTTCTCAATTATTAACAATCTGTATTTTTAAAAAAACTTGTATAGTGGGACCCTAAAATGTAACCGCTAAATTTGCTGTTGACAAAAGATGTTAAGTTTTTAGGAGAATATTGGGAATCTGCAGGCTAGTAGGCAAAATTTTGGCAGATGTAGTATTAGAAGTTATCCATTTTGGGAGGAATAAAAAACAATATATTTTTAAAAGCAGGAGATCTGGATGTGCTTGTATATGAATCACAAAAAGGTTTGCTCCAGTTCTGCAGGGCATCGATAAGACTGCATTTTCGGTTTCCTTTATTTTAAAATAAAGTTAGTTGCGATCAATGCAATACAGAAAAGACTAGTGCAACTGGTTTTTGAGATAAAGGGGTTAGAATAGGAGGAAAGATTTGACAAGGTTAGCCTATAGCCACTGGTGTTTTGAAGAATGACGTGTGGCCTAATTGAAATGTACAAGATCCTGAGAAAATTTGACAGGGTAGATACTGAAATGATGTTTCTCTTTGCAAGACAGGCTACAGCTCAGGACACTGCTTAAAAAGACATCTATATTAAGATGGCAATAAGGAATAACGTTTTCTCTCAGTGCATCATAAATCTATGGATTCTTTTCTCCATAGGGCATTATACGAAGGGTCATTGGATACTTTTAAAGTTGATATTAGATTCTTGGTGGACAAGGGAGTCAAACGATGACGAGCACGTGGAGTGACCACAAACAGACCAGCCACAATCTTATCGAATAGCAGAGCAAAGTCAAGGAGTCCATTTGGCATACTCCTGCTCCTAATTGATACGTTCATACTTTTGCTTCCTTGCTTTTTCTCCAGTTCCACAATTAGTATTCCAATTTAAAGTACCAGTATGGGAACCATGAAAAACCCCTGTGGGGGAGTGCTTTACAGTGTTGAAACCTGCAGTTAGCACGAATGCTGCAGCTATATGTCAGTGATAAAAATGCCTCCTGGTTAAATAGTGAGGATCTGCATCACAGCCACAGACTTTTGCCCAATTCCTTGTCATTAACATAACACTTTTTGAGCATAAAAGGTGACATGGGTGCTTTACACATTTAAAATTCACTTGTAAATAATTTACATTGCATTGATCTTATGTTATTAATATGCATCACTTACTTGTTGACAATATCTTAGAAAGCTAGCACTGGCAGAGCTCTTGCCTGGCATACAGTAATGATCATCGAAGTGCAGGAGCCATTTTCATTATTGTGGAAAAAACATTTGTTCCCTCTTCACTGAATGTTCATGTTAATGTACAGTGTTGTATTTACCCTCTGTGGGACATGGCTGAACTGGCAGGCTCAGCTAACATTGTAAAGGACATTGCTCAAACTGCCTCAGATAAGTAAAATGTAGGTAATGTCAAAGCCTACAAAGGACTTTGCCAACAAACAGCTTGAGATGGACCTACATGTAGACACTGATTTTTCGGTACCATATTTTCTTACCTTAACAAACTGTTCTTACCATATCAAGGGCACTAGATTTTCCCCCTTCATTCCTCCATATTCCCAATATTACCCTGTATCCCCCTCACGCAGATCTCTTTTACTCCGCAATTCTCCAATGTCATTGCACCACTGGTTATCCTTGTGTATTCTGAGCTTGCCTGCAAACCTCAATTCTACTGTGCCCCTGCCTTGCGCCAGAAATCTCAACAAGGAAAACCACTGATGCCATCTGGTGTACACTACCCTATAACAAATATAAACCAGATACGACAACATTCTCATCCTCTCCTCAACTCCCGACTGATCTTGCTGGTGGAACTTAGACGTTTTACTCTCAATGAGTATTCATAGCATGACAATATATTACATTGACATGCTGCTAACTTTATCTCAAAGCTCTATTGGGAATCAATATCTTCCATCCCACTTCAGTCATAACACATACGTTTCCCATTTTTGTGGACACCATAAAATCACCCCATTAATTCTTTCTCTCTCAGATTTTGTCAGGCCCGTGAATAATACTTTTTAAAAAGTGATTTTTAATTGAAAAAAATTAACCTACTTCTGCTTTGAGGGGAGGAAATAAACACAAGTGGAGCTGGAAAAACAGCTGAGAGGCGAATACAAGAATTATGAGCCAAGGTAGAAGAGTGAATGGATCTTTACACAAAGATTTGAACTTAAACAGTACCTTTGACAATCTCAGAACAGACCAATGAAGTAATATTTGAAATATACTCTTGTAATATATGGAATATTACATGGGGTATCCAGGCTTAAGAGATTTGCTCAAGATTCATGAGGCCTTTGTTAATAGGTTTTTAAAAAGGACTTGCACAGATCCATTAAAGATTTTAATTTACATAAATTCAGATTCAGAACTTGATGCAAAGAAATGAAATTTGCAAATAATGCTAAACTGAGAAAAGTAGCAGGCTCGGGGCAGAATTAATTGAATTAAAATAAATAACCAGGAAAGTGGGTGCGATTAAATGCAAGTATACCAAAAAGAGCACACTTATTCTGTGAATATTGAAATAAACAAGTATAATAAAGGTCTTAGTACTAGGAAATACAATAAAATAAACCAAATGTGGAATAGTCATCCATTGGATGTCAAACTATATAGCCAAAACAGTTGTCAGTGGAGATAGTAATCAAACTTTTTCATACTCTTAAAAACCAAAAGAACTGCGGATACTGTAAATCAGGAACAAAAACTAACAGTCCCCATTAACAACTATTCACCCTCCCAGCCTGATGGTTAGCAACTCCTTTGTCTGTCCAACTGTCTTTCTCTCTCTTTGGGCTCTATCCTATCGTTTACTCCCTACCCCACCCACATCCCTATTTTCTGCATATAAACTGACGTTTTCCCGGCCACCATCAGTTCTGAGGAAGGGTCACTGGACCCAAAACGTTAACTCTGTTTTCTCCTCCACAGAGGCTGCCAGACCTGCTGAGCATTTCCAGCAACCTTGTTTTTCATACTCTTGCCAGATGACAGCTTGAATACAGCATCCAATCCTGAATGAATGAATTAAGATGAAACAAATGAGTTTCCTCCTCTCCAATTATCCAATGATTGTTAATCTGAATTATTTTAGGAATATTTGTGGTGAAATGTTGAAAACATTTGGTTGAAGCAGAATGAGACAATTCTGAATTTATTTGTGGCTGGTCTGCCCTTTCAAGTCTGCCATAACAGATTTGATTGTATCTATTAATTGAACTACATTTCATTGCCCTTAGTTAATTGCAATAGATGCTGGACCCAAAACCTTGTTTATCCTTCTTAAGTACACCTAGCTCATCCGTGGTATTCTGGACTGAGTATCACATCCTTCTCTTGAAGCAAATTTGGTCAAATCACACCTAACAAACTCTGCACACAATTATTTCTTGGAGGCTCTGTATTGGATTTATTTTATTAATTCTGTGGTGGAACATTTGTCATGTAAGCAACTATTACAGTACTACATTACAAGAGAGTAAAAGTAAATTCAAATAAGGGAAACAAATTTACAAAAGGAGAACAGATTGTAATGTCTATCAATAAATGAAAGAAATACTCCCTTTTTGCTTATATGGCATTGTGACCATGATGACAGGGTTGGAGAAATTAAAGATTTGAGATTCACTTAGCTGCTTGCTGGCTTCTTTTTGTATAGGTCTAATATTTTTCCAGCACTCGTGTTAGTTCTTCAGATTTATCTGATACTTAGATGGTGTTAGGAAGAAAAATACACTTATCAGAAAATCTTATGCTAGGAGCTAGATTCAGTATGAGGAGAGACTTTTGATATTTTCTCTTTTGACTGTTGCCTTTCCAGTTAGTCCTTAAACTTGTTATTTCTTATCCACTCGAGTCCAACACCAGCACCTCCACATCATACACAGCAAATGGAAAGATTTTGAGTACATGATTTTCTTTAAACAAGTAATTTCCTCAGGATATTTTCAAACGTTGTTTCTTTTTGTTTTAAATGACTTTATTACACAACATTACATATACAACACCATATATAAGCATAATATTTTTAGAATATTCTCATGTGTACCATTCTTAATATACAATTAATTTGTTTCCCTTGGTTTCTTTCTTAGGCCTAAAAAGATAGGGATTAATTGACCCTAATCCTTGACTAGTACTAATCTACAAACAACAGCGCTAGATGCTTGAATTTTCTAATCTTCTTTAAAGGGTATTGTTTCCTTACAATGTTTTGTAATGTTCACTTTGTTTTTGCTCTATGCTTTTCTCTCCTAATAGCTTGAGCTAGACAGATACTGCATTTTTCTTTATTTTAAGCAATATTCACCCACAATTGCAATGATTGTGTACTTTACAGGTAACCATCATCTCTTTTGGGCTTCGTTGAAAGTCTTGCATTTCAACTCAGACCACACAAAGATCAGCCATTTTAAGTTACCATTTGCACATGGCTACAACTGTACAAAACAAGGGACATACATTTAAAACAAACTGCCCACAACTTTCAAAACAAAAGTTTAGAGGGAACTTGCAGGTTAACATTAACAACTTTTAGATGATAACGAGATGTACTAAGGCACCATTTAATTGCATGCTTACTCTTAACTGGCCCATCACTTCCCAATATGCACTTATCAAAGCATGCTGCGATACAGCACTGTTATGCCAAAACTTTTACGTATTTCAAAACTTTCATCTTAATTCTTTCCAAATTAACATTTTCTATCAACTGTGCAACATAGCAACTGAAAAAAATTTCAACATATTGAAAGGAACAAATTCAATGAAGTGTTTAAGTACAGATTTTTTTTCCACTCCCTGAGATACTGTGCAATTGTCTTCTTCAATGAAGAATTTCTTTTAGAATTCAAAATTTTCATCAGTCATATCGATGGCCCAGGCAAATTTCTCTCGCTGTGTCTTATTATAGATCTTCTCAATAGGAACGTGCCATTTCTTGCACCTACAAAGACGACATGTAAAGGGATATGCACATTACATTTAGCCAGCAATTCTATTATCATTTCATAAGGAAAGACTATTCAAATATTTAATACATTGACAAGGGTTAATTGGTTTTATTAAATTCCAGACGAGGTAACACGAAAGATCAGGGTACATGGTGAAGGAAAGAATGAAAAACAAAGTGTTCTCTCTAATGCTAACTGCTTGGCACACAAGTATCATGCTTGAACAACTTAATTTCTTCGAGTTTAGATTATGCAGGATATCAAATTACGTCAATCCAACACTCAACCGAGGTTCAGGTAGTGTATGTTAAAAGCTGTCTGGTTCTTACTGACCAAGCAATGGTGATTCTGGGATCAAGATAGTTGAGTTTGGACGTGCCCAATGCAATCTGTTTATTCTCCTCCCTGTCTGTTGCTTGAACTTCCAATTTCATCAGTTGTTCTTCTATCCTCTGTAACAGCTTTTTCTTCTTCTCTACAATCCTGTATAAAGAAACTTCATTAGAGTCCTTTAAGAATAGGATATTTTAAATGTGTTACTTTCTATTCCTAGTCTCCTTGGTTCAACACCACAAATAGATCATTTCATGTTTCTTTAGGAAATAATAGCAAACTTAAGAAGTCTCAATTTCAGGCTAAACCTTCACCTCCGTTTTATCACCTCCATATCAAGACATTTATTTACTTTCTTAACTGACGAGGACACAATTCATAACTTCTTTCCCTCTCCTTCATTACTGTGTCACAAAAGGGAAGGTGACGGCCTAGTGGTATTATTACTGGACTATTAACCCAGATGCCCAGGTAATGTCCCAAGGATCTGGACTTGAATCCCGCCACGGCAGAGTCTAATAATGACCATGAATCCATTGTCAATTGTCAGTAAAAACCGATCTGGTTCACTAACATCATTTAGGGAAGGACATCTGCCATCTTCATCTGGTCTGGCCTACATGTAACTCCAGACCCACAGCTATGCAATTGACTCTTAAACTGCCCTCTGGACAATCAAGGATGGGTAATAAATGCTGGCCCAGTCAGTGATACCCTCATCCCATGAAAGCCATTTCTAAAAAATTCATTCATCAATTGTTTTCACTCGACATCTTATATAATAATGAGAAGCTCAATCAATGGAGGTAATTCAGATATTGGGGTATAATAAGAGAAACAGAGCTAGGTCATTCAGGGATAATGGCAGGGATCATTCTTTTATGGAAAGGGTAATGGAAATTTAGAACTCTCATCTGGTGACAACAAGTGAAAATATCAAAACAGGGTGTGTCAGGGAAGACTATTGAGGGCTATGGGTGCAATGCTAGTAGATCTTGTTAAAATTTACATCAGTTATGGTTTCATTAAACAGAAGATGTGGATGGAGGGGGCTGAATGGCTACCTTCGATTCCTAGCCCACTGATGCTGGGCCAGCTCTATATTCATATTTAACCAACTAAACAAAGTGTGTGAAACTTTTATATATTTACATATTCTGTTTTAAAGTAAACAACTATTTGCAGCCAGTTAAACAACAAAACCTGAGATTAACACATTTTATTCCATCCATTGAAGGTCATTGTTTTAACAAGTGGTTATTTAATTAAATCTAAGAGATCCTGTTCAGGAAATACTCACTGTTTTGATTTTTCATCTTTTTTAACTTTGTAGTCCACCTTGGCATTTTTCAGATCTTTCTTTGCTACTGCAAGTTGTTCCTTTTTTGTTTCAATCTACGAATAGAAAGTATAAACTCTTTTTAAAAAAAAAAAAATTGTCATTGTTGCATTTAGAAACCACCATTCCCATTATTGATTCATATGTTTATCTGTCAGACAGGAATACCACAAACAGTCTCCCTTTCTTCTTCCAGGAGGTTTATCTTTAGCCACTCACACTGAACATTTCCCTAATGTGAGACTTAACATATCAATCAACTGTAGTAACCTTCAACAAATTCTCATTAAATGCACTGGAGACTAGTAGGTGTCAGAATTCTGGCCAAGTGGCACTGAGGCAGATTACTGTATCCCACTGCTAATGCCAATGCTGGCAGCCAAAGCTGGAAGAGAATTCCAGTGCAGTTCCATATTACAGCAGTAGGTGGTGTTGAATCTCTATTTGTTCAGAGATGAGACAGTCCTTTGGAACAAGTAGGTCTTGAATCTGGGTCTCCCACAACTACCTGGGCTATACATCTCAACCACTGCTTCCTGTGAAGACTCCATTCCATTTTCCCAGTTCCTCAGTCTCTGTTGCATATGTTCCGACAAGGCCAACTTTGACAAGGGATCCTCTGAAATGTCCACCTTCTTCCTCAACTGAGGATTTCCCTGCACTGTTGTCAACAGGAGCCTCACCGGGTCCGACCCATCTCTTGCACTTCTGCCCTCACCCTCTCTCTTCCCGCCCGCAATAGCGACAGTGTTCCCCTTGTCCGTATGCACCATCCCACCAGTATCCACATTCAGAAGATCATCAACCGCTATCTCTGCCACCTACAGCAAGATGCTACCACCAAACATGTATTCCCTCCCCTCCCCTCCCATGTCCAATTACCGCGGGCACCGTTCCCTCCAGGAAACCCTGGTCCACTCTTCCTTCACTCCCAACATTACCCCCACCCAACAGCCCCATGGCCCCTTCCCCTGCAGCCACCACAGGTGTAACACCCGCCCATTTACTTCCTCAGTATCCAAGGGCCCAACCATACCTTCCACGTGAAGCAGCACTTCACACAATCTTGTCTACTTCATTCACTGCTCACAATGTGGTCTTCTCCACGTTGGGGAAACGAAGCATAGACTAGGTGACCAATTTGCAGAACATCACATTCTGCTCATAAAAAAAAAACACCCTGAGCTTCCATCAGCCTGACATTTTACCATACAACCCTGTTCGCCAGGCCAACACCTCTATCTCAGGCCTGCTGCAGCGTTCCAGCGAAGCTCATTGCAAGCAGGAAAAACAACACCTTATTTTCTGCTGGGGGCCCCTGCAGCTCTCTGGACTCAATGTCAAGTTCAATAATTTTAGCGCCTGAACTCTCCCATGTCCTAGCCCCCTACCTCATACACCAGGCCTTGTTATCACAGTCTGCCATTACACACAACTATTAGCCACTAACAGTCTCCATTAACAGCTATTCACCCTTCTAGCCAGATTGATATCTACTCCTTTGTCTGTCTTAACTGCTGTTCTCTTTAGGGCTCTATCCCCACCTATTGTTTACTCCTTACCTACCCCCCGCAATTCTATCTTCTGCATACAAACTGACATTTTCCTAGCTACCATCAGTTTTGAGGAAGGGTCACCGGACCTGAAATGTTAACTATGATTACTCTTCACAGATGTTGCCAGACCTACTGAGCTTTTTCAGCAACTTCTGTTTTGTTTCTGATTTACAGCATCCACATTTCTTGTGTTTTTATTTTGAAAATACTCAATTAAGGAGTAAAGCATGTTTCAAGTAATCCAACATGCATCCAGTACTAGTTGAGTTGACTTTTAAATTATTTTATTTCAAAACAAATATAGCTACATGCAGATAGTTACAAGTACCATGACATCCGAGCTGCAATCTGTGCAGGGCTCTCAATTATTGTAGGGAAATGTGTTCTTAATTTTGTCATTGAATAATTCAAATCTTTCAACATATTTCTCTCTCTTAAAATACACAGCTTGTAACCCATAACACCGTGTCAAAAAAAAGAAACAAGTCTGCTAAGGATAGCAGGTAGTGGTAAGTAGACCATAAGTGGCTCCAAAGTTATGGCACAATATCTCAAACTGAATCAAAAGCATCATGTTCAATTTAAGAGATGACTTAATTGATGTTCTAAGGAAAATGGGTTGTTCACTACAGTGAGACTTTGAATAAAAATTAATAATCTTATTAATTTATTAGTTTTTTCTCTGTAGAGAAGTTCAGTGAAATATTTCAAGAAAAAGATAACTGTGGAATGAGCAATGGAAGGCCTTGCAACAAGATTGTAGAAATGGAATTCAAACAGTACAGTGGCTCAGCAGTTAGCATTGCTGCCTCAGCTCCAGGGACCCGGGTTCAATTCCACGCTCAGACACTCGTCTGTGTGAAGTCTGCACATATCTACCGATAGTTGTGCAGGTTTCCTCCAGGGGTTCCGGTTTCTTCCTACAGTCCAAAGATGTGCAGGTTAGGTGGATTGGCCATGCCAAATTGCCATTGGTATCCAGGATGTGCATGCTAGATGGATTAGCCTTGGGAAATGCAGGATAACAGAGAAATGGTGGGGTGGCAGCTCTGGGTGGGATGCTCTTTGGAGGGTTGGTGTGGGACTCGATGGCCCGAATGGCCTGCTTCCACACCGTAGGGATTCTATTATCTTAAAGGCTTTTAGAGGAAAGATTGAAATATGGTGAAAATTTGCATAGAAAGGCTGAGAATCCATTAAAAATTAATGAATTTGTTTGTACTAATGTCCTGATCTTACTTAGTTAGCCCCATCCACTGCAATGGAAATAAACATTTGTTTGGTTGTGTTTATTTCTGAAACTTACCTTGGCCTGAATGTTTTTCATGGCTTTCTCATAAGTTTTTGGGGGTGTCCTCTGGTGGTTACAAAGAATGGCCACTGCTCTGTTAGCTCGATTGTAGGACAGGATTTTTTCTGCGATACTTTCTTCAGCTGAAAAGAAGAAAAAGTAGTAAGCAACATCACTGGTCAAGTAATCATTGTAAAACTGGAAGTTATTTCAGATAAGATTTTAAAAACACCAGCTATCACATAGCTATGTCACGTTGTGAAAAATCGTGGATTACTCAGTCACTTGAGCATTCAATTACATCATGGCTGAATTGGGTCTCAACTCCACTTTTCCACCTTTCATCTTGCCTGATACATTAGTCCAACAAAAATCTATTTTCAGCAGGTCTGGCAACATCTGTGAAGGAAAAAACAGTGTTAACATTTCGGGTCCGGTGACCCTTCCTCAGAACCGAGGAAGGGTCACCAGACCGGAAACATTGACAGTTTTTGGCTTCACAGATGCTGCCAGACCTGCTGAGCTTTTCCAGCAACTTTGTTTTTGTTCCTGATTTACAGCATCCACAGTTCTTTTGGTTTTTATTAAAAAAATCTATTTTCCCGGTCTTCAGAGCTTCAATTGTTTTCAGCATCCACAGTCTTTCAGTGGGGGGAAAACAGTTCCAGATTTACACTACTCTTGGGAGATAAATTGCTTCTCAATTCCATTGCTTTAATTTTGCAATGTAATAATAACCAAAATTTTCTTTGTGGTGTTGATGAAAGGATCAATAGAAGTCACACAGGAGGCAAGTCCCCTGCTCCTTACTGAAATAGCTCTTTTATGTCCCGAATGAACTGAGGCTCAGTTCAATGTTTCATCTGAAAGGCAGGGCCTCAGAGTGTAGCAGTTACTCAGTACTTCACTAGAGTGTCAGCCAAAACTCCAATGCTCAAGCATTACGATAAGAAATGGGACTATAATAACACTTCTCCATAGCATTCTCAGTCTATCACACCAAAATGAACAATTTATAAATGAATGAAGGTTATGGAAAAGAAACACTGGACCAGAGGATTTCATTCTTGATACTACAGGTTTAAAGAGAACTCACTTCCTCTGTGGACACGGACATAAGCCCTGCATGCCTAAAATGTTCACTTGCTTTAAGAATAGGCTGTGTTTGTTGACAGTGCAGGCTACAGCAGACACTGAAGTTGCAGTGGTGGTCATGTCAGTCAGTGACAGAACACCATTTTGGATACCTGCCGATTGCTGCCCCGCTCTCAATCTCTCACAGCCTTACTGCCCTACCTGCCACTCACTGTCCCATCTGTCAACCCTCTTGTGAGCCAGCACCCAAACATTTGTGACCTCTGAGTGAATGGTCGCAGCAAGGGAAGTTTGCATGTGGTGCATCGAATGAGATGACAGCTACTAGGGCATGATGATAGCAGCCGCACACATTTGCTGCTCCAGTAAGCTCTCAGGAAATGCAGATATGGATCTTTTGAGCAGTGACAGTGACCACTGAATTGCTGCCGTGCTTATAAAATCAATGACTTGCTGCACTCTGCAGTTTACCAGATTCCTAAGAGCCCAATTTTCACAGTAAAGTCCACTGGGGGACTCTGTCACAGCAGAGATGAGTTAGGGGAAGAAATAACACACCATTTTGTACTACATTCGCTGCCACATGAAAAGCTTAAAAGGTCCAGGTTTAATGTAGGAGAAAGGTAGTTCAGGTTAGGGGAAAGCATACAAGGCATATTTCAGGGTCAAGTATGTAGTCCAGGTGTTAGACTAGGTTTTAATCTGTAATGTTTCATGGGTGACTACCCAGATAAGTACTGTAGATGTATCTGAAGTCTCTGATTCCAGCTCAATCTGAGGCATTTGCAGAGGGTCACAGAACAGAGGAATTGCTCATGGGAAATTGAAACATTTGCACATATTGTGTGACAGGGCCACTTAAAAGTCCCTGTGTGCATCTCCAGTTACAAGTCTGGTCTCAAGAGACTGATCATTTGGCCCGAAATGTTTTAAATATAGATATTGTTATAATGCACTCAACGTGAAAACCATCTCCCAGAAAAATGGTCTTTTATGCTGTGATGTTGATTGCAGATAAGATTTGGCCAGTTCACTGGGGATAATTCTCTTGATCTTCTTTGAAATGATGCCATGGAGTCTTTTACACCCACCAGAGCAGTCAGATGGGACTCATTAAAAATTTGATAATGCAGCATTTCCTCAATGCCATACTGGACTGTCATCCTCGATATTTGGGTTGAAACCATGGAATTGAATTTGAAACCAAAACCTTCTAACTCGAGGGGTGACAGTGCTACCCACCCACGTGAACAAAAAGCTTCACTGTTAGGATAACTATTCACTTACGATCAGTCAATTCAGCCAACTGTTCTTGCAACGTGATGGAAGCATTGTATGTTCGAAACACTTTGGCAGTGAGCCCCTCCATTAACTCCTGAAGGTGTTTGTTCAGATCAGAAGTCTAAAAGAAAATACATTACTTTCATATATAGATATAGTGAAAAGTTGATGAAACTGCATATTTGTCAAACTCACTAAATGTAGATACATCTAAATACAACATACATTCAATCTGTCAAACAGGTCATCTGCAGGATCCTTATTCTCCATGAACAATTTTAGATTCTTGAACACCTGGTAGAAAGAAATACAAACAAACATCACTCTGGAATTGTATATGTTGTACAAATGGAAGAAATAAAGAATTTTACACAGAGCCTTTCATGAATCCAGGGTGTCCCAAACATTTTACACCCAATAACAATTATTCCTGAATTGTACTCATGGTTACAATACAGGAAATGTGGAAGACAAATTATATACACTATTGATCCAAATCAGCAATGAGATATATGCCCAAACAAATCTACCTAATTAAATCAGGCTGAGGATTAATGTTAGTCAAGACAGAAGAGAACTCTATTGCTCTTTTTCAAGTATCCCACGGAATATTTTGTGTCCAGTTGACGCAACAGACAATCTCAATTTTAACATCTTATCTCCTTATCACAACCCTAAAACGCGCAACAATAGAAAGTGTAGATGTGGACTCAGAATTCTAGAGAGTGGCTTGAACTCAACCTACTGACCCAGAAGGGAAAATACCAACTAAGCCATGGCTGACATTTTGAGGCACAGCTGTAGTACTGCCGGGGCTATTCTGTACAGCCAGCATGGACTCGATAGACTGAATAGCCACCTTCTACGCTGGAAATGACTCTAAAGTAGAAAGACAATGTGATCACAACTATTTCATCATAATTCAGGATTAGCAACACACAACTTTAAGCCTGCTATCCCATTCTGATCAAAATGCCAGTCACTCCCGAGATTTTAGTGAAGTTTAATAAAAAGACAAATAAAAAGTTCAGTGTCTACTTGAAATACAATGAAGTATTCAGAATTGATATTTTTCTTCCAAATTTGGGAGATGAATTTGGACAGATGAATTTAACATGCTGTTTCTGACAACAGCATGTCGTGGAGTCAACAAGACAGGTTATAATAGACTTATGTGCAATAAAATAGGATTGATGATGATCTCGGAATAAGCACACTGGGTACCAGCGACCACAATCTGGTTGAATTTCACACAGTTTGAGGGAGAAAAAAAAAAAATTGTGTCCAGGACTTAAACTTCAGTAAGGGCATGAAAGCAAAACCAGATAAAGTGAACTGACAAATTAGGTCAAGATACAGGTCAGTAAAGATGCAGTGGCAAACATTTAAGGGATATTTTCCTCCTAATTCACACACTAGATACATTATATGGAGAAAGAAAAGTTCCAAGGAGAGGACTTACAATCTGGGGTTAGCTACAAAGTTTAATATAGTACCAAATTTAAAGGGTGGCAAGTCAGAAGATTGGTTATAATATTTAAAAAAAATGTACTAACAATAAAAAAAAAACAGAAAAATTAGAGTACGGGAGTATGCTATCTAGAAATTTAAAACAAATAGTAACAGTTTCTATAGGTACAAGTAAGGAATTTCTCATCCAAAAATCTTGGAACTAACTATCCTTCGGATCAAGAATACTTTTTTGGTTTTTGGACACAGTTATCCTATCGGTCCATTTGAGTCCTTTGCAAAAAAACATAAATCTTTGCTTGGCCTGAACAGACCTGCAGACACTTAGAGTTCAGACCAGTGGAAAACACTTCGTTTTTTAGGTCCAATTGGTCCAAGTGAAGTTCTTTTCCAAACAGTGTAAAGTCAGCATGTCTACAGGTCTGTTCGGGTCCACTTTTGAAAAAGACCTTCAGTTGTTAGGTCTTTTTGATTTTTTGATACATGGACAAAGAATACACAAACTATATTTTAAACAAGTTAACAGAATGAGCAGTGGTAAATAGTTGAGGATTAATAATAGAAAAAAAATGTCAGATGAATTGAACCAGTATTTTGCATCAGGTTTCACTAAAGAAGAAATAAGTAACATTATAGAAACAGCAGTAAATCAAGAAATGGAAGGGAAGGAGGAATTCAAGAAAATTAGAATCACCAGGGAAGAAGTAATCAGAATATTGTTGGTGCTGGAGCAGACCAGTCAATGGGTCCTGCTAGAATTCATCATAGGGGGTTAAAAGAAACAGCTGAATAATTTATGCATTGGTTTTAATTTTTCTAAATTCTCCAGATTCAGGAAAAGCTGAATTAGAAGGAAAATAGTAAGTAAGTATAGCTTCTTTAAGAAGCGAGGGAGACAAAGCAGGAAACTACAAGCTCTCTGTCAGGGGGAAGATATTAGAGACAATATGAATATATGAAATGCAGCACTATAAGTAGGTCATTCAGCCTTGCAAACATGTTCCATCATTCAAAAAAAGTCATGGCTGAGCCATTTGTGATCTGAATTTCATATTCCCATTTATCCCCCAATAACATTATTCACTTGCCTGACAAAAATCTAACTGCCTTTATTAAAAATATTCAATGACCCTGCTGCCACTACCTTTTAGGGCAGAGAGTTCTAAAGTCATAAAACCTTCAAAGAAAAGACTGCTCAACTGTTCCACAAGGGCAACCCTTAATTTAAAAGGCATGTCTTCTAGTTCTGGACTTGCCCACAGAAGGGAAATATCATTGCATGCCCAGCTCATTTTCAAAATCTTAAATCAACCACTTAAATGATCCCTTGCTCTTGTGAACTCCACTGGAAATACTTTTAGCCTGTCTCACTTAGCCAAACAAGAATACCCACTCATTCCAGGTATCAGCACAGTAAATGTCCTCTGAATTGCCTCCAACGCAGTTTTTTTTAAAAGAATAGATATAAAGAGACCAATTTAAACATCCATTTTGAGATGTGTGCTCACCAATGCCATGTATAACAACATCTTCACTTTTATGTTCTGCCCCAATGGTAAGAAAGGATGGCATCCCATTATAGCCTTATCCATTGTGTTAAAGCTGCATACTAACTTGCGACTCATGCACTAAATCACATCCATCTGCACCTCAACAGTTTGCAAATGAAAAATTTCAGGTAATACATGAGGACCCTGATTTTGGAACATCCGATTTAGATACTTACCGATGCAATCCCATCCAGGGATGTAATTTTAAATAATAACACATGAATATTTCCTGTACTTAAGACCGACAACTTTATATTATCCTGCATTGTGTTCTGACATGTGTACTAATTGACTTGTGAACAGACTCAAGTACAGAACCCATTCACAAATTCTGTCAAAGTAAACAGCTTCACAATTTCCCACATTGTATTCCATCTGCCAGATGTTTGCTCACTGACTCAAGCTATCTATGCCCATGCATACATAGTCAAATAGCACAGAAATAGTCCAACCCGTCCATGCTGACCAGGTATGCCAAAATTAAATAGTCCCAATTTGCCTGCATTTGGTTCCTCTAAACCATTTCTATTCATGTACGTGTCCATACGTCTTTTAAATGTTGTAACTGTACCTGTCTCTACCACTTCCTCTGGCAACTCATTCCATATACACACCACCATGTGTGAGAAAAAGTTGCCCCTTAGGTCCCTTTATAATCATTCCCTTTTCGCTTTAAACCTATGCCCTCTAGTGTTCGACTTCCCTATTTTAGGGAAAGGACCTTGGCCGTACACTGTCTATGCCCCTCATGATTTTACAAATCTCTATAAAGATCACACAACTCAGCCTCCAACGCTCGAGGGAAAATAGACCCAGCCTATCCAGCCACTCTGTACAACTCAAACCCTCTAGTCCAGCAACATCCTTGTAAAGTAATTGCTATACCCTTTTTAGTTTAACAACATCTTTCCTATAGCAGAGCAACCAGATTGTATGCAGTATTTCAAAAGTGCCCTCACCACTATTGATAGGATAGAGCCGAAAGAGAAAGACAGTTGGACAGACAAAGGAGTTGCTAACAAAGGAGTTGTCTTTCTCTCTCTTTGGGCTCTATCCTATCGTTTACTCCTTACCCCACCAACCTCCCTACTTTCTGCATATAAACTGACGTTTTCCCAGCCGCCACCAGTTCTGAGGAAGGGTCACCGGACCCGAAACGTTAACTCTTTTTTCCTTCACAGACGCTGCCAGAGCTGCTGAGCTTCTCCAGCAACTTTTGTGCAAAGATTAACTTCTGTTTACTGTTTACAACCAGTTAATTTTCGATCCGTGTTAATATGTTAACCCCTACATGAGCTTTTGATTTCCACAATAACCGCTTTTGGTGACTGCTCATCAAATATCTATAGGCTCACCTTTATCACTACATGTTACTCCTTCAAAAAACTTGAATAAAACTAGTTAAATTAGATTTCCCTTTCATGAAACTGTGCCTATTCTTGTCGATTACCTTGGAGTTTTCTAAGTGCTCAGTTGTAGCTGCTTTAATGAATAATTCTAATACTTTATCCAGGCATCCAGCCAACTGGCCTACAGTATTCTGCTTTCTTCCCTACTTGAATTAAAGGTCTTCTGTATGCTACTTTCCAATCAGATTTCTGAATCTATGGAATTTTGGAACATTAACACTAATGCATCTACTACCTCATTAATCACTTCTTTTAAGGCCCTAAGATAACCAGTGAACCTGGAGGCTTGTCAGCTCGCAGCTCTATCAGCTGTGATCTTATTAGGCCATAAAATACAGGAGCAGAATTAGGCCATTCAGCCCATCGAGTCTGTTCTGCCATTTGAGCACAATTGATAGGTTTCTCAATCCAGTTCTTCTGCCTTCTCCCCACAACCTTTGATCCCCTTACTAATTAAGAACCTATCACTGTCTTAAACTTAATGACGTGGCCTTTACAGCAATGAGTTCCACACAGTCACCACTGTCTGGCTGAAGAAATTCCTCCTCATCTCAGATCGAAAGGTTTGTTCCTTCACTGGGGCTGTTTCCCTCGATCCTGGTCTCTCAAATCTTCCCCTCATCCTTCTAAACTCCATCAAGGACAGACCCAGAATCCTCAACTGCTTCTCATATGACAAGATCTGCATCCTCAAGATCATTCTTGTGAACCTCCTCTGAATGCCCTCAAATTGCAATACATCTCTCTTTCTATACGGGACCCAAAATCTCTTAGAATATTCTATGTGTTTTAAGCAAAGCCTTACACAGCCTCAGCAGTACATCTCTGCTCTAGTTTTCTAGCTGTCTTGAAATGATTGCCAATATTGTATTTGTCTCCCTAATTGCCAAGTGAAGCTGCATGTTCACCTCAAGAGAATCCTGAACTAGGTCTCCCAAGTCACTTTCTACTTCAGACTCCTGAAGCCTTTTCCTATTTGGTGGAGCATGTTGAAGGAGCTGAGTGACCTACTCCTGCTCCTAATTTATATATTCATATTTTGAGGAAAATATTATTGATACTCTGTTGGAGGTACCCTATGGTAGAAGTAGTTGATGAAATAAGAGCACCTTACCCAATGGCTCAGGGGATTTAGCCAGGGTAGAAAATATACATTTCTCTACAGTATAGCCTTGCGCATTTCCCCTTCAGGTGAGGCAGCTGTTCACACTGCATTCAAGTCCCAACTGACATGAGATAGTAGGAATTGCAGATGCTGGAGAATCTGAGATACCAAGGTGTAGAGCTGGATGAACACAGCAGGCCAAGCAGCATCAGAGGAGCAGGAAGGCTGACGTTTTGGGCCTAGACCCTTCTTCAGAAAAATGACCCTTTTTCTGAAGGAGGGTCTAGGCCCGAAACGTGAGCCTTCCTGCTCCTCTGATGCTGCTCGGCGTACCGTGTTCATCCAGCTCTACACCTTGGTATCCCAATTGACATGCTGCTTTCTGGCTGCTGCTCTTTCATTTAAGTGCTCAATCAGCATTTCAATTCTATTTTGCAGAAGTCTCTACAGATAACCCCAAGTTTCATGTACCCTAATTTGTGAACCACTATAGTCGAGAAACTAGCACCATCACAGTGGCATAATCTAGGCTGTGCTTTTGCTAATGCCTTACAGGAAGTTCATAACCTCATTTGTCATGTATGGCAGATGCTTGCTGCTTGAGTAGGTTAACTGTTGCAGCAACAAGTCATGCAGACCTGGAAGATGATAGGTTTGAATCGTGTTGTCAATTTAACTAAATGCAATTGGAACAGCAAAAGGAATTAAACATTAGCATTTGAATCTTCACATTTGGAGGAGCAAGAACACTATAATCCTGCAAATCAGGACCAAAAACAGAAGTTGCTGGAAGCTCAGCAGGTCTGGCAGCATCTGTGTAGAAAAAAATCCAGAGTTAATGTTTCAGGCCCAGTGACCCTTCCTCAATCCTGCAAATGTCTTATTAGTAATCATTTTCCAGTGATTGTACATGCAGGATTTACTTTTGATTATTCCTTTCAAAATGTTCACATGAACGCTTGTGATGCTTGGCAGTCTGGTTGTCATATTCCACTGTGATCAAGGAACCTATGAGCAAAAATTGTCTCACTTGAATTCATGTTTATTAAAATATGTGGTCACTGGTACATCATCTGCAATTCTTAATGTTCATCAATCCATGAAAACAGAGCCAGATTTTAACCATACCCATGAAAGGGTCAGGAGTTGATAATATCTGAATTAACGCGAGTAAATTATGATCTATTTAGCAACCTCATGTTAGTCCACTCAATTTGATTCCATATAGGGTATAAGTTCTTTTAGAGATTTGTTCATAGAATATGCATGTTCCTTGCTGGGCCAACATTTATTGCTATCCCTAATATCCCTTGAATGGAGTGGCTTTCTTGGTCATATCAGGGAACAGTCAAGAGTTTTAATACATTGCTGAGGGTGTGAAATCAGATATAGGCCACATCAGGTCTTTTTTTCACTAAAAGGGACATTACTAAACCAGATGGGTTTTTGTGAGGATTCATAATGTCACAATTAGACTAGCTTTTTTAATTAAATAGTTTCGTTCAATTCAAATTTTATTTGTCACAGTAGAATCTGAACCCATATCCCCCAGAACATTCACCTTAACATCTGAATTACTAGTCTAGTGACATTAGCACTATGCTATTGTCTCTCCCATGCTTATCTGCATGGCTTAGTATTACACTTTTGATATACTAGATCACTCAAAGAATTTGTAGAGATTTTAAACAATCGTACTTAAGTAACTGACTCAAATCACATTGAAGCAAATTAAAAATGATGGATGTTATGTCGTGCAGTGCATTGTTCACTGGAAATGAACTCTGTACCTGTTTTTCCACTGGAACCTTATTATAGTATCTAATAGAGTCCTTTCCAAGGAAGTCAAATTCTACCACACACTGCTGCCCGTTATCATTTTCATGCAACTTAATGTGTTCAACACGGAGTGAGCAGCAACCAACTGTGTCAGCAGTCTCTCCTTCCTCCTTTTCGTTCCCAGCTCTTAATGCCAACTATAAAAGCATAGAAAAATAAAAAAAGTTATTTAATTAAAGACACAATTTAAAGCAACCATACAGAGTTAAATTTTTAAACATTGCAAGTAGATTGCCATTTGAAGGAATTTCTCTAATTTTCCATTAGTGTAATGACTATAGTTTGAATTTTGCAGTTATAATGACTGTAGAATGGTTAATATTCACCATTACTGTGAAGCACAGAGAGACCTCTGTCATCTGCATACGTACAATTAAACAATCAAACCTCAAATAATAGCAAAGAAAGATGACAACGTCTGGATGACTCTAGCACTACATGATAGCCAGAAACAGGAAGATGGTGCAGGCAAACTCAAGGCAAATGAATTTGTGATCCAGGAAGGAGGCCTCGAGACACCTGGGGCACTTAGAAAGACCTGTACTAGCCAGGAAGATTGAATGTGAACAGGGCGGCTACAAATGTACATGCTAAATGGTTAATTACGGATGTTGCAAAGAGTTCAAACTAATTTGGAAGGGCACCAAGACACAGCACTGGAGAGAAAGACATAGTGTATAATCCAACAACCACTGAAGAAGACGTAGGCAGTACAGGAAGTAAAATGGAGAAAAATGGTAAAGTAGGCTAGCATGATATTACACATTGATATTAAGTGTTAAACTAAGGATGAGGAGCTACAGGCACAACTTAATCACAGACAGATATAGGAATAATTTATTAATGGCTACAAATATCTTAGAGGGCATGGGACACAAAAAGGGAAGGAAAGGTGGTAGTAATATTGATCAAATATTACAGTTCTACAGAGGAAAGTGAAAATGGCCAAGCGGACGACATTTGATTTTAGTGATTTGCGATCAAGAACAGGTGGGCTATAAAGACTTCCAAGCAAAAAATGATCAATGGGAGACTTTTAAAGGCAGTGTTAGCTTGTACATAGGCCAAATATATATCCATCAGGGCTAATAAGATAGGGCGTCAAACGCTACAGCTCCCTAGATGACAAAGCAAAGAGATATTAAAATAAAGCAGAATAGGAGACAAACATCAGCTATAGAATATAGAGAAATGGGATGAAAATGGCAACAAGGAGAGCAAAGAGAGTGAGAAAATATTAAGGAAACAAAAGGGGACGTCAAAAATATTTAAAAACGTAGAAAAGCAAAAGATTGTTAAAGATCAGGTGGGTCCATTCAGGCTAAAAACAAGAAATCTTTTGGAGGCAGTGGATGTAACAGAGGAAGTAGTAAAAGAGAAAAGTTAAATCACCTGTGCAGAGATCCACATGTACAACTATGGCATTAGATCAACCTTGTTACCTCTAATATGACAGAGACAGCAAGCCAAATTAAATCAGCTTCACTAACACAACATAGTGAAATTAAAATATTCAGTGACACTCAAACTTGTCCAATTGTTCCTAACCAGATATTATGATTAACAATCTCAGAAACTAAGTTTAAATAAAAAATAACAATTTATTGTTAATATTGGTACTTCAGCAGAGCAAAACTAAACAACAACGTAACCTATTTAAGGTCCACCATTGAGGTCCAACTTTCTTTGTTTGTAAGCCCACTCATACACAGACACAGTTAAGCGATAAATTAAAAGGAAATTTCAAAAAAATTGTAATTTGCCTGTTTGATAACTATTTCAACTATAAGTACCAGATCTTTATGTAATCATTGAACAATGCGTTGTATTACAGGCACATGGAGCCGTATCTTGCTTTAACTCTAAAGTCACCGGTTGATGCAAACAGCTTCCAGCAGGGTCCGAGGAATATTCACTTATTCCATACAAACAGAGATTCTTTTCTCAAAACATTCAACAATTCTTTAACCAAATATAAAACACAGAGATTAAAACTCAAACACAGGTTTCCAGTCAAGTAGCTCCCAAGCACACAGCCTTGGCCTCAAAAAACCCACTCAAAACCAGTTCTATGGTTTCTCTTTCTTTTCCAACATTCTCGGTTGTTGGTCGGCCAGCACTGGATTTTCCTTGATTGACCAATGCAACATCCAAACAGCTCCCAGTTACCAATAAATCACCAGAACTACACTCCAATGTTCTAAGGGAGGTAGCAAGGATATTGTGGAGGCATTGGTTGTGATCTTGGAACTACTGGAGTCAGGGAGGGTCCCAGATGAGTGCAAAATAGCCAATGCAACACTCCTATTTAAGAGAGGGAGGAAGATGTCAGGAAATTGTAGGCCAGTTAACCTGACCTTTGTCATTGAGAAGATTTGCAAGTCCATTATTAAGAACAATACTGTACAAGTTTATGGTAAAATGGGGCCAAGTCAGTACAGCTTCATCAAAGGAAGATAACACAGTGTGGGGCTGGAGGAACACAGCAGGCCAGGCAGCATCAGAGGAGCAGGAAAGCTGACGTTTCGGGTCAGAACCCTTCTTCAGAAATGGGGGGGGTGCTGGGTTTGGGTGTACAGCTGCTGGCTGGGTTGGAGCTGGCTGTGGGGGCGGAGTTAGTGAAGTCGTCAGCAACGTCGGTGGTGGGTGGGACGATGTCAGTGTTGTCGGAGGTGTGAGCAGTGACGTCGGCAGAAGTGACATCGTCCTTGATGTTGGCCGTGGGAGCGGGGTCAGCAGCGGCGTCCTTTACGTCAGCGGCACTCAGTGCTGGCGATGGAAGCGCCAGCATCCACGGTGAGAGTGGTGGCAACACAGCCATGGTTTGCAGCATTGGAAGTGACGTGACCGGTGTCGGCAGATGTGACGAGATTGGTGGTGTCAGTGGGTGAGGCGATGGTGGCCACATGGTCAATGGCGCCAGGCACATTATGGGGGAGGTCCTGGGTAGGATTGAGGACTTGGGGAATGGAAGAGGCCTGTGTTTGGTGGCAGGCATCGGTAAGTATAATGTACATACGGTTTCTAAATGTCAGACAGGGCGGAGTAAAAGCACTGGTTGAGGTTGTGGATCCTGCGAAGAATGAAAAACAGAAGAGGTCCTTTGCAAGTCTGGGAGAGGGAGGCTCTGAGCTGGGGTAGGCTTTATTGTAGGGCCAGAAGACGCCAGCTCATTGCTGAGAGCAGGTGTTTGAGGAGCCGCAGAGAAAACCGTTTTTGGAGGATCTGAATGTTCTGTACGTAGCGGTTGTCACGGTCAGGGCCAAATTGGGAATGGCCTGAATGCAGATCGCAGTCCATTGGGGATGATCTGGTTCTGTAGGCAGGTAC